TATGTTTTGCAAATGGTTCTGTATGATATGGAAACAGACAAAAGTGAGAACAGTCACTGTATATAATTTTGTGGCTTCCTTTTCTTTCTTTTAAATTTTGAGGCAGGTTTTCACTAAATAAATCAGACTAGTCTTGAACTTTCTCTGTAACTCAGGCAGACCTTAAACTCATAAACTTTTGACTAAGCCTGCCAAGCAGCTGTGATTATAAGCTTGCTCCACTTTACCCAGTTGTGACTTCCACTGCAATTGAGACAGCATGGTATTGTTGAACACTAGAAAATGGAGAAAGAAGATGAACAGGCATTCTTCCAAAATGGAGCTGTGAAACACACATACATTTACACATGGGTCGGGGGGAGATTGCCACCATTAGGGAAAGACAACTAAAACTACAATGAGTTACAATATTATACTTAATAGGATGTATAGAACAAAAACTATTTGCTACAGCGAATGCTAACAAAGAGTCAGAACAAGTGGGTCTCTCATACGTTAATTCTCTTAGGAAATGTACAACTGCTCTGCAAAGATGTTTGACAGATTTTAGCAAACTAACAACACACATACTGTAAAGCCTAGAAATTCTATCTCTAGGTAGATTCCAAAGAAAAATAAAACCATATCCATAAGAAACTTGTAAACAAATGCTCACTGCCATTTAGCTGTAATATTCTCCCCCAAAACAGAATGGAAGCAACTTAAATACTTTAGTGGATTTATAGATAAATAGATAAACAAGATTTTTTATATCCCTATGCTGGTATCATGATTAACAGTAAAAATGAACCAACTAGTGGTACAGGGAACAAACTATATAGGTTTCAAAGAAATTAGCTAAGTGAAAATGGCCCATCTATAAAGATTATATAATATTTCATTCTATTTGTATAGCGTACTCAAAACAAAACATAGATGTGGAAAGCAAATGAAAAGTTATCAAAGTGCTATAGACTAGGGTGAGTTCTGATGTAATGGTGTAGCACAAGAGGACTTATGTGATGATAAAGGATTTCCCAATTGATTGTGATGTTGTTTGAGAAAATGTATGTATATGATAAAATACACACATGAATACTTGCCAAAACTGATAAAATATAAATAAGCTTTGCAGTCTAGTTCATTGTATTATATCACTTTCAACTTCCTGATTTTGATAATGTAGGATCGTTTCTTAAGATCTTATCATTGGGGAAAGTTTGGTAAAGTGTACAAAAGGAATCTGTACTATTTTTTCAATTTCTTGTAAAACAAAAATATATTTGCAGGCTGGAGAGATGGCTCAGAGGTTAAGAGCACCGACTGCTCTTCCAGAAGTCCTGAGTTCGATTCCCAGCACCCACATGGTGGCTCACAACCACCTGTAATGAGATCTGGTGCCCTCTTCTGTATACATAATAAATAAATCTTTAAAAAAAAAGAATATCATTAAAAAAAATATATATTTGCAAATAAAAAGGCTTTCTTTTACATTTCTTGCTGAGATCCACTAAGGTCAACTGGCTGGAAACTAATAAAAGAGGGTTTATCTCAGATGTTTCCTATCTAATATATTTGGAGGAAATCTTTGCATCTCCACCCATGCTGTTGAATGTGAAGAGTGTGATCCAAAATTAAGAAATGATTTTCTGATTAGCTTGCAAAAACTTCAGAAGCATCTCAGAAAAACCATCGGGTAATTTGGCAGCCATTGAACTGAGTCTTCCTTCAGACCCAGTTCTCAAGTGAGAAATTCTGGACGTTTTACATTAAGTCAAGCCCAACCCTGGGTTCTCTGACCTGCCCACAGAAATGCCTCAGCATCCCTTCAGTCCAAAGTCAGCACACAGAAGCCATCCAGAAAAAGAACTCGTGCACACTGCTGGTAGGAATGTAAATCAGTACAGTCACTTTTGAAAACAGAATTCAGTTTCCTCACAAAGCTCTAAGTAGAAGTATATGACCCAGTAATTGCAATCTGGAATATATATGCAAATAACTTAGATCAGTATGTTGCAAAAAGATATCAACACTTTTATGCTAATTCATGATTATTCACAAATAGTCAAGATATGAAAGCAGGAAGTCTATAAATAGATGAATAAAAAAATGTGGCATATATACACAAGGAAATACTGCATAGCATTGAAAAGTATGCTACATGTAACAAAATGGGTATAACTGAAAAACAATATGCTAAGTGAAATACACCAAGTTAAGAAAATGCTATATAATCTTATATGTGAAATTTAAAATATTGATTTATGGAAACAGAAGATAGAATAATGGCTGCCAGAGACTAGGGAGAGGATAGAGAAAGGTAAAATAGTAATTAAAGTATACAAGGTTAGCCAGGCTTGGTTATGCATACCTTTGATCCCAGCACTCAGGAGATAGAGGCAGACAGATCTCAGAGTTTGAGGCCAGCCTAGTCTACAGAGCAAGTTCCAAGACAACCAGGGCCACACAGAGAAACCCTATCTTAAAATACAAAAAAAAAGGTATAAAGCTAAACAAGAAGGAATGTTATAGTAATGAACTTCATTATGGGACAATAATAGTAAATAACAAATGTATATGACAAAATTTCTAGAAGAACTCATCTTTAACATTTTTACTGCAGAAAGATAATCTGTGATCAAAAGATCATGCTGTAGTTCATAAACAAACACTGGTATTGGCTGATTAAAAACAAGTTTATGAGGAAAATAAATGATTGAAAAGATAAGGAAATTAGCAAAGTATACCACATATCTGCAATGAAGTTAAAAATGCAAAATTAAAATTTCCAAACCCAGAAAAGAAAATTTTACTCAAGTATTGACAATGTTCCCTTTCGTAGCTATATTCCAAGATTATTTAGGTATGGTGCATATGTATTTCAACTACACTCTTGGTTAGTAAGTAGGCAGGATGTACAGAACCAGAAAACTTCTCTTTATACTGTGCTGTAATCTCTCCCCCCACCCTTTGTCTCCCTTACCTCCTTTTCAATTACTTAGTACATTTCCAAGTGTTGAACTTCCTGGTTTGTGAAAATCTACCAGCTGACCGAAAAATTCAGCCTATAAACTCATTAGCTAATTTTTCACTAGCTTAACCTTTTACCATGATTAGCATCACTTGTGTTTCACAAGAACGGAGAAGAGAGACCATAAATAACCCCTAGATTAGATTATTCATAATAACATTTCTGGTTAGAGGCAGACAGAAACACTTGCTGGACAAAGAGAAACACCCAGTAAGAGTGGTGTTGTTTTTTTCTTTCCCAGCCTCAGAATACTGTACCTAGGCAGTTGCCAATTTGTAAGTCTAACTTCAATGGTATATTATAATTTTATACCACTAGAACTTTCAGACAAGTATTATTTTTCCAATCTTGAGCAATAAGTTTGACCAAGTGGAAAATGTCTTATGCTCTAGTGAATAATTTCTTTCTCAGCCTTCTAGGACACACACATTCACAGTTGCAAAAAGTAAGACATCAGCACAGAGTCAGCCAATAGAAACCTCTCCCTTCCCCTAGGGTTCTACAATTCAGCAAGCATCTAGTCCCTACTAAGCTCCAACTTTGTGTTAAACTTGTGTTGCTGGGGACACATAGATGATTATTTTCCTTCTTCCCTCATCTAGTTTCAGAAGCTGGTTGAATAACTGATCTCTCTTCCCATTAAACTTCCTGGGTGTAGTGGGAGAAGGGGAAACTGACTGGTAGAGAAAACTCCACCCAGAACTTTTTAAGTCTACTGAGGACATCTTTTGTCATAATCCCACCAAAACTGTTTCTAAGGAGGGTCTGTCCATGGAGTACTGCTGATTTCAGCCTTCTGGAGGTTCCCAGAGCAGTGCAGCTGCTTAGCCTGTCTGGATTTCATATACTGGTCCAAGTATCAGTCACTTTGGAACAACTTTGCTATAGGAAAAAAGCCCCACCCATACTTGTGGTTAGAGAGATTAGGCAGAGCTCTCTCAATAGCAGACAGTATGGTGCCACTTGGCAACCATAATATACACATAGTGCCATCCTGTGAGTCATGCTCATGTAGTTTACAGCTGTTAGTTTCATTTTGTTACTGGAAAAAAACTAGTAGTACAATAAAGCATTTATTCTAAATTTTTACAGAAAAAAATAAACCTTCATTTGGGGATTTTTTTTAAAAAGGGAGAATTTACTGTTTCCAACACTTCATTCTGGGGAAATTAAATCTGTACAAAATACACTGATTTGCTCACCACAGGAGAAGGAAGGTGTTGGTGTAAATGGGTTTCATTTATATTTTCCTAATAAATAGGTTTCACTTATATTTTACTACAGCTTATAGTCTCATCTAGAGTTATATGTAATTTTACATATTGTGAATAATTTTACATATCAAAGAATCAAATTCCACATGTGAAATTAGCAGACTTTAAAAAGAACATGTTAAAAAAAACCACAGAAGGAATTCCTTCTAAAAAAGACAGCAAAATGCTTGGAACGTCTTCTGAAAGTGCTTCCCATGTTCTCAAATTAAAAATACATCCAAAGAAATGTTCATCGTAAGCTGAGAATCAGCCCCATTGAGACTCGACAGCTGTGCTAGCTTCTAGGGCTTGATGAAAATCCTTTTGTGCTATTTGAAGCCATCACATCCCCCCGGAAAATGCATGCATGGAAAATGTCCCAATTCAAGAAAACATGTCAAGTCTCATCTTATGAAAAGATTAAGGCACTTAGATGCATTTACTATTTGAATGCTGCTTTAATTTGGTTGACACAAACCATGAGTTTAAAATTGTAAGTTTATTTTCTCCCCTTGGCTCACACTAACAAAAATGCATTTAATGAACCACAATCTCAATTTTAACATAGAATTGTTAGGAGCAATGTTTAACACAAGTCTGGACCCCTGGTTTTTGTCAGTGGCATGTTAAATTGTAGAGAAAGGAGCTTTCTATCTAGACAGCCACATTTCCTCTCCGAAAGCATGCAGCAGTTTCAGCGAACATTTTAACCACTTAAACTTATAAATAGATATTACCTCACTGAAGTCTCCATTCTTCATAACAATATATCCCCCCAAAGGTAAGATATAGCAGACTCAGAATTAAGTTTTCAATGGAAGCAGCAGAAATTCCCACTGTCGTTTTCAATTCACAGAAGCTTTTTAGTTCTATTTTTGAATGTATGAAGAGAAAGCCAAGAACCTTACCCTTTCTACCCAGATATCCTGTAGTGAACTGCAGGCTTGTACAGCTAGAAGAGGAAGTAACGTAGTTTATTCAGCAAAACAGGAAAAAAAGCAAAATCGTTTACCTCTAATGGGAGGTAGAACTGTTCGTCAGCATCACTCAGTTGTTGGGGAAGCATTCGCCTCAGAGAATATTGTGGGCAAAGTAAATTCAAATTTTGGCTTTGATAAATTCAGAGTTTCCATGATTTGTACACTTCTTCAATCAGGAACAGAGTATCTGACTTTAATTTGCCACGTATTACCATGGTTTTCTCTGTCTTTTCTGAACATTTAAAGTGTGTGCTATGCAAAAACCCAGCTTAACCATTAGAATTTTATTTTACTATTGAAAAATCAATTGCTATGTAATTAAAATCCTAATCACTTTTCTACAGAAATCAATAAGTATCAAATTATATTTTGATCCCCCATTCTCTTTCCATTGTATTTCATTCCTTACCATAGCTTCTTTCTGCAGCAATCTTCTGGCATCTACTTCTTAGGGAAATCCATTTCTAATACTCACAAAGCTACTAGGTAGCTAGCTACTCCACAGTCTGCTAAAACTATAGAAGATACTATGCTTCCAGATATCATTACATCCCATGTCTACAATGGCTAATGTTTCCATATAAAGACATAAAAGGTCATGTGACTTTGCTATGGTACTTTGACAGAGAATGTGTCAAGAATGCACTGAGCTTCCTGCTTTGCACACGCCCATCTTATTCTATCATCATCTTTCTCCTTCCTTTTTTTCCTTTTTCTATGTGTATGCATGCTTATATCTGAGTCACATATAACTTTAAGGCTGGCCATATGAGGTCAATATTTCCAAATTAGATTGTAGCTCTGTTTTGCCACGTTGTCTGTTTTAGAAATTAAAGAATGGTAATAATAATAACTTCTTTGAGAGTTTTATTGGGTCACCCAAATGTAATGATTTGAGATCACCAAAAAGATTGTGCTCAGTAAGGTCACCCCAAATGATGAATAAATGTGTGAATTGTGGTCTTCTTTGGGGTTAAGAATTGCATCTTCTGGACTGGGGAGATGGCTCAATAGTTAAGAACACTGGCTGTTCTTCCAGAGGACCTGGATTCAATTCCCAGCACTCACATGGCAGCTCAGATCCTGGGGATCTGACACCTTCACACTGAAGCATATAAAATAAAGTTATAAAAAAAATTCCATCTTCATATACTTATCTTTAACAGTACTAACTTTAACATATTAAGTTTTGAAGAACATATTGTAAAGAAATTGTTAGAGTAGCTTTAAGCACGAAGAAAAAGGAAATGCCTAAAAAGCATCACAATGTCTCAGAATGAAGTGTGATAAGGACCTCAAATACAAACTTTCAGAATTCTGTAATCTTAGTCTTGGCCCCATTGAAAGGGTTAACTGGTAGTTGTGTACAAACTTTCATCTAAAAACATTAAGTGAAGCAAAAGCAAAGCTTTGAAACTGAAAGTTCCTCCCCAGTGATCTTAATTTTACTATTTTATTGTTTCAATATCTAAGATGCTCATGGGGCTCTCTGGAAACTTTTATTCTGGACCTTTTCTTTTTGCATATAGTAGTTTTCTATCTTCTCATGTTGTAGCAGAAACAAACAAATGAGCATGATACTGCTATGAGGTAAGCAGCCTCAAGAAAAAAAAAGGAAAAGGAGATTACCCAGAAAAGCAAAGCTAGCAAAGCCAGGGTTAGTATCTGGCTGTCTTAGGTTCCTTCTCATTGCTCTGATACAACGCCCCAACAAGAGCAACTTAACATAGAAAGGTTTGGTTTTGTTTTTTCTTTGCTCACAGTTCAATGTACAATGCCTCATGGCAAGGAAATCAACTGGACATAAGTTAGAAGTAACTGGTTAGATCATATCCATAATCAGCAAACATAGAGCAACGAATGTGTGCCTGCTCTATACCTTTTTACCTAAGCAAATTAGACTATAATCCTTTAGTTTAAATGCACTCAAGGTCTCAGAAGATGGGCAGAATGCAGCCAGATTCCTGATAAAAAAAATTACCAATCAAAAGACACCTAACGCAGTTCTTGATAGACAAGAGTCCTTGCTCCCCCTCAAAACCTTATGAACCAGGACCCCACTGTATGCATCTGTTAACATTTTTTTTCTTCCAAACTCCAATCAGAGTGGCCCATTACACTCTATCTACAGTATTAAATGGTTTTACTAACCAAATATTCCAAATTCTTCCATATCCCAGCCACAAACCAATTCCAAACACTCAAGAACTACATAGTCATTGTTGTGGTCCACAGACTTTACAGCTCAGTAGAACTATTGATTGCTTTTCTCCATAGGCAGTGTGCATAGCACCTTTAGATACTGTGAGAGAGTAATTGGAGAGGAGGCTCCCAAGTCAGTTCCAACTCATAAACTTTCAAATTTTTTATCCAAAGTTTATGGTGTCTTCAGCAACATGGTTTTACCTTCAAGTTCTAGGAGACGACTAAAAGCAATGGCAATGGCTTATGTTGTTTGGGGCTTGTCTCTTGGACTTCATTGGCCCTTCCAACAATCTGAAGGGAGGTTTCTAATGCTTGGCACTGAGGTTTCTTTTAGGTAATCTATGGCTGTGCCTTGGAGTGAGCATTATCACCTCAAGTGATGTAACTTCATTTAAATTGTGTCTCCGACTAGTGGCTGTGGAGCCCCCATGAGACTGGACTAGGCCCTCTGGATATGGAAGACAGTTGTTTGGCTTGAACTGTTTGGGGGGCACCCAGGCAGGGGATTCCGGATCTGTCCCTGGTGCATGGGCAGGCTTTTGGGAATCCGGTGCCTGTGGTGTGATGCCTTGGGCAGCCTTGGTGCAGTGGGAAGGGGCTTGGACCTGCCTAGGCTCAGTGTGCCAGGCTTTGGTGACTCCCCATGGGAGAACTTGTTTTGGGAGGTGGGAGGAGGGAGGAAGTGGGATCTGTGGGGAGTATGTAGAGTGAATAGAAAATTTCTTAATAAAGAAAAATGAAGCCGGGCGGTGGTGGCACACGCCTTTAATCCCAGCACTCGGGAGGCAGAGCCAAGTGGATCTCTGTGAGTTCAAGGCCAGCCTGGTCTACAAAGCGAGTTCCAGGAAAGACGCAAAACTACACAGAGAAACCCCGACTCAAAAAACCAAAAGAAAGAAAGAAAGAAAGAAAGGAAGGAAGGAAGGAAGAAAGGAAGAAAGAAAGAAAGAAATTGTGTCTCTGTGTGTGTCTTGTACATATTTTAAGTAAACAAAAATGCTTTCCTGTCACTTTTTCAAGCATCCTTAGTATCATTTATCCTTTGTTCTTCCCTCTCCTACTGTATTATCTATCACCACCTCCCAGTTAAGGTTTTTCCATTTTACTTAGTTAGCCCTTCATAGCACCTACTTTCATCCTCTCTACAGATCTTATCCCCACTCCATCATGGTCCTTTTTTACTTTCTTGGTTCCCAAGGTTACTCAAGGTAATATATTTGCCCTAAAAAGTTGGAGCTAGGATCCATAAATAGGAGAGACTGTGTATTGTCTTTTGAGTCTGGTTACTTCACTCAGTATAACTGTCCCTTGTTTCATTCATTTACCTACAAATTTCACGATTCCAATTTTCTTTACACCTAAGTAGAATTTCATTATGCAGGAAAAAGGGACACCCACATCGATGGGATTGCAAATTACTGCAGCCAGATAGCAAATGAAAACAACCTAAATGTCCTTCAATCCTATGAACAGTTAATATAAATTTTATTGGAATATATTAATTACACATACTGATATATTTCATAAATGTATTTTCATATAAGTATGTCATTACTTTAACCAAATCTTTACCACCCTCTTCCCCCAATCTACGATTCATTTTTCCCCCAGTCTTTGTTCCACCTGCCTGTAGAAAATTGGAGATCCAAGGAGGAAATTAGCAAAATAATTCCCTAACAGTATCTTAAAAATATATAAAACACCTTGCCCCGGACCCCATCCCTGGGCACCAGCCACTCCAGGGAAGACCTGCCCAACTTGGCCCCAGGTTCTGGCCACCGGGCAGGTTTCCTGCTAGCCCCACCGGGAAGGATCCCCTTCTCCAAGACCCCTGGCAGACCCTGCAGTCTCCACGCCCTGCCCCCATGCCCATCCGCCTAAGCCCAAAGCCTCTTCCTGAGACTTAGAGGCCGGCCCCCAGCTCCCATCTTGCCCTGGACTTCCCTTTTGGAGCACAGGTGAGTGCCCTAGCTTGTCCCAGACCCCATCCCTGGGCACCATCCACTCCGGGGAAGATCTGTTCAACTTGGCCCCAGGTTCTGGACACTGGGCAGGTTCCCTTCTAGCGCCACCGGGAAGGATCCCCTTCTCCACTACCCCTGGCAGACCCTGCAATATCCACGCCCTGCCCCCATGCCCATTCGCCTGAGCCCCAAGCCTCTTCCTGAGACTTAGAGGCCGGCCCCCAGCTCCCATCCTGCCCCGGACTTCCCTTCTGGAGAGAGAGAGAGAGAGAGAGAGAGAGAGAGAGAGAGAGAGAGAGAGAGATATGGAGAGAGAGATGGAGAGAGAGATGGAGAGAGAGAGGGAGAGAGAGGGAGAGAGGAGCTCCCATCCTGCCCCGGACTTCCAATTTGGACAAGAGAGCTCCCATCTGGACAAAAGAGAGAGACTTCCTGAATATGTCAGCTCTGTCTGAACCAAGTGTGCGGATAAGGCCAAGAACGAACCACAAGGAGATGGGCAGACGTCAAGGCAGAAACATATACAACAAAATGAATAGCAATACAGCATCACCAGGCCCTAGCCCTCCTCCAACACCTAGACCTGAACATCAGAAATTGGAAGAAGCAGAAGAAAACAGCTTTATGAATGACATCATGAAGAAGCTAGAGGCTTGTGTAGAGGAAAAGACAAAAAAATGGGAAAAATGCTGTAAACAACTAGAGGAAAGGGCAAACAAATTA